GGAGAAGTAGATGCGACAGCCCACGCGGCTGGCTTCGAATTTGCAGACTTTCTGACTGCGCAAAGCTCTGGCTACGATTGCCCCAAATGCGATCCACTGCCGTGACGACTGTGGGCAGCCCACTCTCGGTGGACAACTATTTGCACACGCGAGTCGCTGACATGTGCACTAATGAGCCATGAGTGCAATCCTGCGCCAGCGGATCGGTCGGCGGCGTCGCTGATAAGCGAGATTTATCATTGAATGCCGACTGTCGCCTGACTGTCGGATTAGCGGCATCAAGAAGCCAACTGCCATTTATTTGCATATTCATAAATCTGCGCTGAGCTCAGCCGCTGCCCTGACGGACGGATCGCCGTTGCGTGCCGCGAATGCCTCCGGTCTCAATTGGCTCGGACTGCGCGCTAATTGAAATACACATGTATTTATTTGCATTTCATTGAACGTACAGTCGTCTGTCTGATGGATGGCTGCTTTCGATGTTGCTCTTCTGATTGGTCGACTGGACAATGTCGTTTTCTGCTGCGTAATCAACTAGTGCTATAATCTGATATGCATCTGTTCAATTTGTCACGCTTCTGCCAGAAATAGAATGAGAGTGATCCAACTTCAGCTTGCCAAACATGCAACTCCCTTGGTAGATGCATTCCTCGTAATATGATCTTGTCTTGTCAAATATATGCAGCTTCGGCTGATAATGAAATTGAAAGAGAACTGAATGTAGCTCGATTAAAGTTTATGAATAGTACAAAATTTTGCCATATAATAATAATAGTAATAATATAATAATTAGAAACTGGAGTAGTCCTCCTGTGATTATATATACAACTTTTTTGAACTAAACAAATAATATGTCTAAAAAAAATATAAGAGTGTGAATTAGTCTAATATTAAAAGATATAAATCGTTTTCTTAAAAAAATCTTTAAAATATATTTTATATAAATTTATTTATTGAAATAAAATTATTAGAGACTAGAATTAATCCTTGATCAAGTCTAGCTTAAGAATTAAGCAGTGGTAACAGGGGCCTTCGACTATATTGTAGAATCTGTTGTAAAGAGCAAAGATGCAAAAATTAATCATAAAATATTATGATATAATTACAGGCTATGTTTCAAATATAAAACACACACTGCAAGGATTGTAGAGTAATCAAATGTTATCAAGACGAACTGCCTAATCCCCTTTTATGTTGATCAGAACAGCCATTAATGATTTCTTCTAAATATCATAGTGAAGATCTCATTAGAATGAAGCACTGTAAGGTTTTTATAAGTGATCATTAATTTTTATAAAATTAATATAAAATTTAGCTAATAGTTAGCGATCTCTGGCACAGAATTTACCAACTCAAATCCAATCTAAGCAAGTATATAACAGAAAGCCTTTTTTGGAACCGTAAAAAAACGTGGGATACACATAACACATAACATAATATTTATAGAAATAGATAGATAGACCTGATTGCAGGTAACTAATACCAAAGGAAGGAAATTTAAAAAGATAGCTGCAAAGGGCATTAATTCTTTTCTTGTTAAATTTCATTTGACGTCCCATTCCAACCGAAATTCATACGATGCCAAAACCCTTCGAAACGTTGAAATGCACAAAAGCTACTATACTTAAGATGTTGCTATTAAATTTTACGAGCGCATAGCAACAGGCCAGGGCGAGCAGCGCAAACCGTTTCGAAACCGAACAGAGCTGAACAAAGAACATAACAAGACAGCCTAACAAACTAACAATATCCGGGCAGAGCGAGCGGAGCTGAGCGAAGGACACAAAACAAATAAATATCATGAACTTCATGAATGAATCAGAGAGAATCGTGTGGGCTCTTTGTTTGTTGCGGCTGCGATAGAGATTCACTTTGCTGCTGTTGCTAGCCGGCAGAGCAGGTCCAGCTCCAGCTCCAGGTTTGGGTCCATGTGCGCAGGTTGCAGGGTGCAGCGTCTGCGCATGCGTGACGCCTGTCAAGGCGGCGACTGGCCGTGAGAGGCCGCACATAAAAAGAGCAGCTTTTGCAGCGTTTTGTATTTGTGCAGCTCCTTTTTGGGCTGGGGCCAGCGGCCAGTGGCCACAAACATGTTTCCTTTTTAGGGCCATGGACGTGGGTCATGCTGGGCAGCAGCAGCGCAAAACTTGTTATTGCTGCTGTTGCATACTAAGCAACCTTGGGGAATAAGGAAGTCGATGAGTCGGGAGTCAAAGTAGAAGAAGAAGCAGCAGAAGATGCTGACGCCGATGCTGGGGACTGTCTGTTGCCAGCTGCTTACCTAAAAGCCACTTCAGCTGTTTGGCTTTCTTTTGAGCTACAATTGCTTGCGATTTCCAGCCACTCGATCGAGAAATGCAGCATAATTGGGCATAAATAAATAAAACGGCCAAGCAAAATATTGCATTTGCTGCTGAGGTGAAGACACTCGAACTTCGAGCACTTGCATACACATATATACAAACACACACACACACTCATGTATTCGGCATGTGTTTTGCTTCGTGCCCCCGTCAAGTGGCCTATTGAGGCGCCTTCGATCTCCATTTTCGCCAGCCATTTCTGTGGCAACCCGCGCCTGCCCCGTCTTCTCTTTGCATTCGCATTTTAACATAAATGGGCGCACATTTCAAAGAGAAAATAACAGCAATTTCTTTTTACTCCGCTGTGCACAGTTTAAATAAACAGCAGACCATTCGCCTCGTATAGTTTTCAGATATATGTATATGAATGTATGTATCGAATGGTCAATACAAAGATGAGATGGGCTTGTCATTGCAGGTTGAGTTGGTTTCTAAATGTAAGCAAAATATACATTTGAAAAATTGCATTAGTTGATTACAAAAATCGAAGATTTTAAATATATAAATTGGCCGTATACAAAAATATTCTTATTGAAATCAAATTTACGATTAATTGCAGCTATGTGAAGATAATAAATTAAATTTTTATTTTTATTATAAAAATTCCAATCAGAGCATTAAAATTAAGGTGTGATTCTAAGTAGATGCATAAACAAAGCTTGCAAAGCTTGGTAAGAGTCAATTAGCTATTTATGAAGATGAGTTCTATGATGACTATATAAAATATTTTAAAATATGTGATTTGTCTGATCTGATCTTCATTTGTTTGATAGATTTCCATTATACAGTTTTTGATATAATAAAGATCATCATAGTTCATCAAATAAAGGATATCGTATTTTCTGTAAGAAGAATTTAATAGTCCCTCACCAAGTTCTCTATATGAACTATATTTTGTATTTACTTGTTGAAGATTAAAATTAATATAATATTAAAACTGACTAAAAACTTAAGTACTGCCAACTGGACGCTTAGACTTTCGGAAACTAAATTTAAACAAAAATAAATAAAAACAAAGCATATGTGAAACCAACGAAGCATTGCAAATTAAAGTCATAATCTTAAGAGTAAAGAGATCCGAGCTTTATTCTGACTCTAAGAGAGTTAGACAAAAAGTGAGAGAGATAGAGAGCGAGAGAGAGGGAACTAGGTGCTCTTTTGAGTCGAAGGTCGCTAATAATTGTAAGCAAAATTTTGCAACGTTTACTCAATTTTAGTGAACGCCAGAAATAAGTGTGTTTGCTTAACATGGAGGCAACTAAATAGAGTTTGGCATATCTCAGGCATTTCAAAATTTATTTGCCTGAGAATAGGAAAAATAACAAATAGCTTGTTGTTGCAACATCCGTGGCATGATGGCCAATAAAAGCGCACCTCTTTAAAAGCCATCTCCCTCAACTGAAATTACAATGGTAAAAGCTCCTTACAGCAGAATGCACTGCATAAATCACACTTAAGCCGCTGCCTGCACCCTAACCCTCAACCCTTGGCCCTTGGCCCAGCAGCCCCTGCTCGAGTGCTGAGCTGTGCTGTGCACGTTGCCAAGCCAAGCGAGCGCAAACTGCATCTGGAATTTACTCGGAATTACCAGAAAGAAGAACAGAATGAGTGCGAAAAAGAAACGGCAGTAAAAGCAGTTTTCACTTCACCGGCAAGTGGCACATAAATTTCAGCAAGGACACCGGTACACTTCAAGAAACAGCAACAACAACAACAACGACAGTGAGTGAGAGAGAGATGACAGCTCCTTATAACTGGGCAAAATGTTCATTGCTCTGATTCGAGCTCAGGTCCCATCTTTCACCCGACCACAAAAAAGGGAACAAAAATTATGTAGAGTAAATTCTTTTACTCTACAGGAAATCTTTTGCAAATGTTTGGTGAGAAGAGCCCTCGAGTCGAGCTGCCGCTGTCTGCTGTCTGCTGTCTTCTGTCCGTGCGGAAGGTCAATCGGTGCATAAAATATGCGAGAGAGAGCAGCTGCAAAAGGCGCAGCAGCTGCCTTGATTAGCCAACTAGATGCGTCTCTAAGATGGCGCACAGATCTTAACCCAGATACGCGATGCGAAAAACCATAGATTGTCTCTTTGTTAACACAGTTTTGCAACAGTTGCTACATCTCGTTGCTTGGGTGAAAGGTAGGAGGCAATAAAACCGAAAAGAAATCTGTTTTAATTAACTTTCTTGAGCGCCAAGCAAAAAAGAGTTGACTGGGAGATACACTTTCGCATACAGCTAGCTACATACATTTATCTACTTTACATTTTATATATGTATGTATACTTATATATAAGTATTTATAAATATGAACACAGTTAGCCTAACTATGCTCACTTTTTAGCAATAAGACTTTCATCTCAACAAGAAACATGAAAATCTCTTGGAGAATAAAATTTACAATAATATCAAAAAGTGAGTGTGAGCAAAGATGTGTGTGTAGAATGGTGTGAACTAGATGAATAAATGGATATGAAATGAGACTAAGAATTATGACGAGTGGGAGAAGAATGAATAATAAAATCATATTTTTCTCTACCTCTCCCTAACTCTCATTTTCTGGCCCTCAATCAATTTATTTAAATCAATTTATTTAAATACGCATTATATTAAATTATGTGAAATTTCTTAATCTACTTTCAGAACAGTATTTAATGCGTGTTGCGCTCGTCTCATAATGTGGCAGCTGACGTAAGACGCGTTTCTTTTTGAGAAAATTTAAGCCAAGTCACAGAACACAAGCCACAACGTCTTACTGTGAAAGATGCCGCAATTGAGGACTCACCTGGCCATTTGCTGCCTGGCGCTGTTTATGTTCGGGCTACACCTGTTGCCCCTATCGGCTGATGGCAAGGAACAGCGAGAGCCATTGGCAGGCGAGTCGCATAGCAAGCAGCAGCACCGCAGCCACTCGAGTGGCGGATCGAAGCGCTTCTCGCGCGACTCGAATGCCGCTCGCGAGCGACGCCCCAACATAATCCTCATCCTGACCGACGACCAGGATGTGGAGCTGGGCTCGCTCAATTTCATGCCGCGCACGTTGCGGCTGCTGCGCGATGGCGGCGCCGAGTTTCGGCACGCCTACACGACCACGCCCATGTGCTGCCCGGCGCGCTCCTCGCTGCTCACGGGCATGTATGTGCACAACCACATGGTGTTCACGAACAACGACAACTGCTCCAGCCCCCAGTGGCAGGCGACGCACGAGACGCGCTCCTATGCCACCTACCTGTCCAATGCGGGCTACCGCACCGGCTACTTTGGCAAGTATCTGAACAAGTACAACGGATCCTACATACCGCCTGGGTGGCGCGAGTGGGGCGGCCTGATCATGAACTCCAAGTACTACAACTACAGCATCAACCTGAATGGGCAGAAGATCAAGCATGGCTTCGACTATGCCAAGGACTATTATCCCGATTTGATAGCCAACGACTCGATTGCCTTCCTGCGCTCCTCCAAGCAGCAAAACCAAAGAAAGCCCGTGCTGCTGACCATGAGCTTCCCGGCGCCACACGGACCCGAGGACTCTGCGCCGCAGTACAGCCACCTCTTCCACAACGTGACCACGCATCAGTGAGTGTCGATCTCTCCCTGAGTCATATGGTAATACTAATCATTTATTCGATCTCTAGCACGCCCAGCTATGATCACGCGCCCAATCCGGACAAGCAGTGGATCTTGCGGGTTACGGAGCCCATGCAGCCGGTGCACATGCGTTTCACCAATATCCTCATGACGAAGCGCCTGCAGACACTACAGAGCGTCGATGTGGCCGTGGAGCGGGTCTACAATGAGCTGAAGGCGCTAGGAGAGCTGGACAACACGTACATCGTGTACACCTCGGACCACGGATATCATCTTGGTCAGTTCGGCTTGATCAAGGGCAAGAGTTTCCCCTTCGAGTTCGATGTGCGTGTGCCCTTCCTCATACGCGGTCCGGGAATTCAGGCGTCCAGGGTGTAAGTAATCCATGCACATTTCATCAATCAGTTCAATCCATGCTAATCGAGTCTTCTCTTGGTTGCAGTGTGAACGAAATCGTGCTGAATGTAGACCTTGCGCCAACCTTCTTGGACATGGGTGGGGTGCCGACACCGCAGCACATGGACGGACGGAGTATTCTGCCGCTGCTACTCAGTCGGAATCGAGTGGTGCGCGACACCTGGCCGGACAGCTTCCTCATCGAGAGCTCAGGCCGTCGGGAGACGCCAGAGCAGATAGCCGAATCCCGGGCGCGTCTGCTGGCGGATCGACACAGCATGAAGCTAGTCAATAGCACGCTGCTGGAGGATTTGCTGGAGAACGTCAACAGCAGCAGCAGCAGCATCACCAGCACAGTGGCTACCCTGTTGAGCTCTGTGGCAACCACAACGGAGCAGGAGGACTTTGAAGAGGATCTGGACACCGACGCTGAAGACGAAGATGGCGATGATGCCATGGACAGCTCAGCGGCTGCAGTCGACGACGAGGATCTGGTAGATGCTCGGGCCGAAGAAGACGATGATGATGAGCTAGAGGAGCAGGAGCTGCTGCAGCAGCAGGACAACCATTTGCCCATAGCACCCTACATCACGAAAATGATGCGACTGAACTCCGAGTGCTCCGATCCGGCGCTGCTAAAGAACTGTTTGCCGGGCCAAAAGTGGAAGTGCGTCAATGAGGAGGGACGCTGGCGGAAGCACAAGTGCAAGTTCCATGTAAGTATGAGCTCCATCACCAATCGAGTAATGCAACCAGGCACTCAATCAACTGTCTGACTTTTTAGCTGCAACTGGAGCATCAGCTGGCGGCGATGCCACGCAAGCAGTACCAACGCAACTGCGCCTGCTTCACCTCGAACGGATTGGTCTATACCAAGATTAGAGCACCGACTACATCCCTGCACCCGCACCGCCTGCACAAGCGCACTCAAATGCAACACCACCAGCACCAGCAGCACCTGGGCAAGAGACGCCACAAGCGTCAAGTGCCCGAGGAGGTCTATCACTCAGAGCTGCCGTACGAAATGGAAGAGCTGCTCGACTTACACCAGGCTGTCGATCTGCTGGCCCAGCACAAGACCAGAAGCAAACGGGAGGCGCCCAGCATGCCAAACCTCACTGCGAACAATTCCAAATCCAGTTCTAATGAGACTATCGCTGTGGTCATACAGCAAATTCAGAGTACTCTGGAAACGCTGGAGCACAAGTTCAATGAGCATGAGCTGTACAATCGTAGCGCAGCCCCCTTGGGGCGTGGCGAAAAATTCTCGAAGGGCGGCGCCCGCTGCTTTGTGGAGGAGAGCACGGACAAGGTAAACTGCTCGGATGTGATCTACGATGATGAGAAGACCTGGCGCACCTCTCGCAACCAAATTGATATGCTCATCAAGCTGCTGAAGGACAAGATCAGCACACTGAAGGACATGAAGAAGCAGATGCGGGAGAGCAAGCAGCAGGCGGCTGCAGCTGGCCGACGTGGCGAGGGCCGGCGTCGCAATGATCCAGCTGGGCTCCAGGAGGGAGCCGGTCCCGAGTTCAACATGAGCTACTTTGGTGATATCGCCACCACGCCCCGCTCCGTCTTGCTGCCAAATACGTATAGCGGCAGCCAAAAGGATATCATTCGTGGTATAGGAGGAGCTGCTGGCTACGACTTCCCGGATCAGTCCCAGACACCACACTATGCATCGCGTGCCGAGTGCTACTGCGAGCCGGATGTGGGCGAGAGGTAAGCAAAGGCAGATAAAATTGAGCTTTCAATAATGTATGCAATATGTTTTTAGCTATGCCGACTCCAAGGAGATGGCTCGGGAGGCACGGCGTAAGCTCAAGGAGGAACGACAGCGCAAGAAGGAACGCAAGCGCATCAAAAAGGCGCGCTTGGAGAAGGAGTGTCTGTCGGAGAAGATGAACTGCTTCTCCCACGACAATCAGCACTGGCGCACGGCGCCCTTCTGGAACGACAGTCCCTTCTGCTTCTGCATGAATGCCAACAACAACACCTACTCCTGTCTACGCACCATAAATGCCACGCATGACTTTCTCTACTGTGAATTCACGACGGGATTGATAACGTTCTATAATCTCACTATTGGTAAGGATAAGGCTGTACAGGCCTATGAGAATGTCAGAGAAAGTGGAAGGACTTAAGTGCCATCTCACATGCTCTATAACTGTTAGACTTAGTGGCAATATAAATAGATCTAAGAGAATGTAAGAGAGTGTAAAAGAACTTTTCCTTTCTTTTCTCATTCTCAGTTCATTCATATCAATCATAATCATAAACTATAAAGTATGATTACAATATCATTTGTATTGTATATGTATCTAAGAGAACTCAAGTTCCATTATTAATCGAATTTAATTTGATTTCAATATAAATAGATCTGAGAAAACGTACACGAGTGTAAAAGAACTCAAGTCCTATTTCTTATACTAAATTTATTCACATCCCACATCCCCTTATCAATTACAATTACAATATAATTTGTAAGGGTCTAAGAGAATATAAAAGAACTCAAGTTCCATTATTCATTATAATACCAATATAAATAGATCTTCTTAGATCTCTTGATTGTGAGTGACTATAAAAGAATCCTATTCCCTATAATCAATATATTCATATCACAAAAATATATCTAAAATAACTCAAGTCCTATTTCCCATACATTGACATCCCAATCATAATTATCAGTTATATTTGAAATATAATTTATATTGTATATGGATCAACGTCATTTGTATTTAAGAGAACGTCAAGTACCCAAGTCCTATTATTATTCATGATTGCAATATGAATAGATCTAAGAAAATGTACACGACTGTAGCCCTATTTTCCATACATTCACATTCCAATCATAATTATCAGTAATAATTTCAATATAATTTGCCTTTTGTGTAGATCGATTTGAAACACAGAACCAGGCCTCTAGTCTAACGCCTGCTGAGAGATCGCACATGCACGACACCTTGGAGCGCCTGAAGAGCTGCCGCGGACGAAACTGCAGCATACGCCGCCAGCTGCCGCAGCTGGGCATGTCAGCGGCAGCTACCCCACCCACCGCCGTCAATCATGTCCAGCGCAGCAACAAGCGGAAGCACAGTAAGCACAACGAGTGGAATAAATCTCTCATCACGAGCGCATTTAGACATTTATTGTATTTCGCAGACCCCTTGTCGGGCAGCGTGGGCAACTTTGGCTTTGTGGGCAGCCGGCTGGACATGGATATGGTGCCATCTGCCAAGCGACGCAAGCTCTCCAAATATCACAGGCAAGCTAACAGCTGAAACACGACTTTGATTTACACCTTAACTCACTTCAACTCGTTCTCAGATGGACCAACTCGCAGAACACTCATCTCAAGCGTCGCCCCTGGAAGCAGCAATCCCATCGGCTCCTGCCCCAGCCGCCGGTGCCCACTGTGGCTGCCTGAGCTGCGTTGCCGTTGCCGTTGCCATTGCCATTGTCATTGTCTTCACCCAGTGCCCAGTGAGCACACATATGCATATCCTACAGCTTGCCACACCCACTCAGCGCATTGCTCTGGTCTGCATATTTGGATAGAAAGCTGTGGAATGCTTCCTGGCATTTTCTTCTATTTTCTTTTAAGTAAATAAGACTGTGTTTTTTCTTTTGTATTCGACTTACACTTAGTTCGGTATCTTTGACGTCTTGTAACTGTGTCTCTTCTTTGCTTCTTCGGCTTGAACCCGCAATATTAACGAAAGATAGTTAGCATTTAAGTGATCTAATTTGTACATAAATTTAGGACGAGAGAGTGAAAATATTTACACCCTACATAAATTATTTAGCGCAATTGGTTTTACAATTAAATTATCTAGAGTAGACGAGTACACTTAGCCAAGAAATTACCTTACCATAGAGATCATATTTACACACACAAACACATTTATATTTATTGGAAAACGCTAAAAACGCTACGCAAATAACAAATTGTTGTTGTTTTGGAATGGAAATTCTGGGACAATGGTCACTCATTGCCTCGTTGTGCTCTAATGTTTAAGTCAACTTGTTTGTAGCAGGCCTCACGCCCATGAACAAATATTGTAACTGCTCTAGCAAGCCTAATATTGTCTATTTAACACACTTAATCTAACAAAATAATAAAGAAATACATGCATATGTAAAAATCAGTACCTATTTAAGCTAAATGAGTTTTATTGAAATCTTTCTTCATGTTTTTTGATGAACAAGCCCTGATTTTCGATAATATTAATTAGAGAATCTTTAGCATTTGTGAAGTGATCACGTTATTCCTAATGATTCGGACGTGTATTATGTTCTAATCGCTGAGAACTTAATTTCTATTGTCAATATTTATGAAAACATGCTAATGGCACACGCTTATCACTAATTAGTGACGTACTCAGAGAGAATTGATTTGTCACGGCTGATAATCGCACCTTTGACAACCGAATTTCACGTATATCTTAGCAGGTTAACATTCAGCTATAGGGATTGCACATATTTTATTTGTTACACAAACATATTTCTATGCTCAGCTCGAACAAATTTTTGGATTAAATCGACAAATAGCTTGCAGAGCTTGTCTCTCAGCAGATTTCGTATGAATATCAAAAGTGAATATCAAGTGAGTTTGATACTTATTTGCAAATTTATTAGAGCATTCGCTCAATGCCTTTGTCTGGGTTGTTGTATGAACGATACTCGTTTTTTGGCCGAGAAAGTTCTTGGTATTGGAACGAAACACGTGTCTGAGGAAATTTTGGATAATCATATATGAAAAGAAAGCATTTAATGAATGCCATCAATTTTCGTACTGGAATTTCAATTCTGCTCTTGAAAGAGTCAGCTATAAATTAAGCCAAATATTATAAAACTTTCCTGAGCAATGTTCGTATGAGTTTGTTAATTTTATGTGACATGAATTTAGTTAGCTAATTAAATTTATTTTCAATATGATATTCAGACTGTATTGAAACTGAAAATTATAAATAAAGACCGAGTTTGGTATATATATATTATTATTTTTAGACTATATATTTTTAATAATATTTAAACTGATATATATATATGTATATATTTGAATGGTATTTTACAATATTTTAAGAGTTTAGCTAATACGTAATCCTTTTCTGCTAAGATATTTATATACATACATGACATGGATATACGAAAACATTATTATATCTATATATATATATATATATATATATATATATATATATATATATATATATATATATATATATATATTAACATTTTACATTCAGATTGAGTTTAAAATTTCTATTTTCACATATTTAATGGTAAACCAGTCTGATTTAAAAACAATTTGATTATGAATTTCGCATACTCTCACCGAAAAACATTCATTAAATAGACTTGTGAGTCTTTTCTAATTATGTTAAATTTGTTGTAACTTCAAAAAGTATGCAACAGAAATATTCGGCTATCTGTGGAGCATTATGAAATCTGTGGCATACTTATGCTAAAATCTAAAACAAAAGAACAACGAATAAATATTCATAGCAAAACAAAAAACAAGAACAATATGCTTACAACAGGTGTCTGCCCTCCAGTTCAGGGTGCCAAAAATCATTTAAATACTATTCGAATCAAGAGAATAAACAACAATCTGTTTTCTTTTTGTTTGTAAATTAATTTAAGTGAAAACATGTTTCGGATTCGTTCGATTTGAAGAAAGAAACTTGTGTGCATTGATCTTATGGAGGTCAGGGCCTTTATTCAATACTTTTCGAAAACTTAGCTTAATTAGTGAGCATAGCTATATGTAGATCTAGACAAGAGAAAGTTGAAATAGTGAATTGCACTCAAATACATAATTATAATTTGTTCCCAAATAGAGAGGGAGTATATTGTTATTGACATATACTGTATATTCTTCATTCCCTAAATATTTCCCACACATATATTTCTATACTTCTTTAATTGCGCTCTAAACACATAATAACTAATTTGTTGTCGCCAAGCGTGAGCATTTACCTTACATAAGGTAACTTTTATAACAACCTAGATTTGATGGCTCTAGCAGTAAACTCTATGGCAATCTGTCAGTCAGTCAGTCAGTCACTCACGCAGTCAGTAAGTCAATCAGAGCAAACAGTTTTATCTGTGTATGCAGTAGCTTTTTAAAAATAATTTGTTGCTCGGTCTGCCTAATAAAAAATGTAATTACTCAACTTAAGCACTGCTATCGGCCGAAATATAAAGATAATAATGATTAGCTGTTAACAGTTATCGAAAACTCTTCACTGATGCTTAGAGTAGGGCAATATATAAAAGCCTATCAATGCGAACATCACATATTTTTGGCAATCACTTGAGTAAATGTATTTTATATGCATGATAGCCTACGACTGATAAGTGATAATCAGTGATAACAAACACTTGTGGTCGCTGATTGGCAATAGAATGTGTGTGCATCGAGGCAGCTTCCACAATTCCAGATGGCCACAGCCACAGTCCAAGTTAAAGACAAGAATTGGGCAGCCATAGACAAGGGAGCCGAATCAAAATTTATTGCCACGAACAACATCATCGACATGAGACCCAGATGTAAATAAGATCAGCCGTATGCGCTAATTAAGCTGCCGAGATGTTTTCATCTGCTGCTGTCAAATATTGTTACCCACTTGGCAATTCACACTTGACACTTGACGCGCTAATTTCCGCTGCAGCAGGAGGAGGTTGCGGGTCTTTCCATCTTATCGCGGCCAAGACGAAGAGAGCGCACTGCCTGACAGTGGTCGAGAGAGAGAGAGAGAGAGAGAGAGAGCGAGAGCGAGTGCGAGTGCGTAAGAGCGAGAGCTAGAGCCACAATGGATGTGAGTGCGAGAGCGAGAGAGACAGTTGTCGCTCGGAGCGTACATGGGGAGATATCGTGTTAAAATTTTGCGCAAGCAACAGAGTTATCAGTTTGAAATTTATTTATTGTTGTTTACTAGGCGACATACCTGTGTACCTACCTGCCTAGTGCCTAGGTAACCAGCCAGACACCAACAGTACATGGGGCCTGAACGAGGCCTTTGTACCAGCATTTTTATATCCCCACTCAGCCCGCCCCCACAGCGCCCGCCATTGCTCGATCTTGGAATAGCAACGAGCTCATTTATTGCAGACCGGGGCCACTTTACGATTTGCGCACTTCAATCGAGTTATCGTGCTGAAATTTCACAATTTCAGAATTGCCTCACCTGAAACGGAGCCTTCTCGTCGAGGGACTCAGCGTGGACTGCCAGGCACGTACACAAACTAAACTGGGCAGCTGTTAAATATCACATAAGCAAATTATGCGACTCATAGAACGATGAACTCAACGAGAGTCCGCACTGAGCTCTACTATATTTGGAGGCATCAGATAAACCTATTTGCATAATACAATGTTTCTTAAAAGTTATAAATAAACCAAACATAACACAGAGACGATAAGTGCATTATCTCCCCTGATAATGCTTGGCTAAACTTGAGACTTCAACCAAATATCAATGTTATCTAATTGGAATAGGTTTTCTCAAGTGGACACGAGTCAAGACATCAAATACACCCTGATTTTAGATGTAAGTTAGCTAGGCAGAAAAGTCTTTTAGTTTATCATAATTGACGTACTTGATAATTTAGTTAAATAGTTGAACAAACATTCCCAAAAAAAACAAAGAAAATGGAAAAAATATTGATTCGCAGCGTGACTGATGTTAGTATTTGCACAAGTTTATTTTGCCATTGAGAGAATAAGAATTATGAGTTTCGTCAAGATCTAGTCAATCAGTTATTTAACACTAATACACTTCAGCTGCGAGTAGGTAAATATATTGTGTGAAATTTGTGCTAATTGATAAAGCCAAATAATATTTGTCAATTCTCGACTCGGCTATGCAATTTTCTTTTGTGAAAGCAATGAAGATAATTTCACTTGGTAACAACCCTGAAATGGTATAATAAATGAGGATAGAGTTTTCAACAAGAGATTAGCAATTGGCTAATCAATTTTCATTTTACAATGAATCCTACCAATACCACCTAATAGATGTCAAAGACCCATCTAGTCAGAATTCACATAAATTCTTTCAATCTCTACATGAAATAATTATACCTAATTGAGCGAACCTCAATGGAATATCACAAAGGATTTCCATTTTCCGTAGATAATTAAGGCGTATAACAACAATTATGAACTTAATTATCAACATCAATTTAATTGCGGCTGTCAAAAAGCGCCAAGTGTTAAGTGTTTACTGTACATGTTTAATTATACCCATGCGGAGGTTTTTATAATATTGTCACGATGTGCCAGACTGAACTACTGAGCGAGCATCCTCGGCTCTATACGATATATAAGATATACAAATATTCTTATTTGAATCTTAGTATTTTTCCACTTGCCCTTGCTTTAGCATTGAGTTCTTATCGAAAAGTATTTCAGATCTCGCGACTTTTGATTGAACTTCAAGAGAAATTTCAGATAAAGCTAATATGTGTGAAGTCTAGGTAAATATAATAAATTATATGTTATTTGTGCTAAGTTGATGATATATTTTATTGCGTTGTATAATGAATTATCACTGTCTAAATTGAGATTTGATAGCTATGCTACGATTGTAATATAAAGGTTTTGCTTTAATTGATTTGATTGATTTTAATATTGCTAATAATTTAATTATTTCATTTACATCCTTATTACTACCTAGATAAATACAAAAGATTTATAGTAATTATTTACAATTGCTGCTTAGCAGTTAGTAAAAGGGTTTATATATTAGCATGTCCTACATCCAGTAGAACTAATAGATCCGTCCATCTCAGTGATGGTTGGGATTCGCCTCGAGCAGCTTTTGGGTCACCTGGCGCAGCACCTGCAGCTGTTCTTTGTACTTGTGCGCAGCCTCCAGCTGCTCAGCCTCGGTGTGATGTGGATGGGCATCTGCGCTGGAGTCTGTTGCGCTATGATGGTCGTGATCGTGGTGATCCTCGTCCGAAGCGCCACAGCTGTGGCCGTGGCTATGGCCATGACCTCCACTGGCACCTGCAAGACGAAATGGAAAGATACGATTGATGATGAAGACTTGGAAAGCGTAAGACGGAAAACAAGTTTCGACTGAGATGCAAAACAAATTGAAATGTAAACCGGAATCGTTACGTGTGCAAATCTTTATACACCATATAC